TATTGGTGCGTTGTCCTGTTGAAAAATCGTGTAGTTTCCCGGATTACGTTCTGAAATGGCAATAAATTGGTTTTTAAATTTCAAGGTAAGTATTTTTTCGTTATTTTTATATTCATCGCAAAAAATTAACGATCCTTTTAATCCTCCCGCGAAACACCCCAAAGACATTACGGATTTTTGGCCACTTTATAAAAGTGGATACCAATTATTGTTATGCTTCTCTCCTGGATGCCGCCAAACTCTTGGCTATCGTGACGGCTTCCCAATTTCCACACTCGCCTCATCAGAAAAAAATAACTTTCGCCTAATAATAAGCATTTTTATGCTTACTTTCTCAAAACGAGCATACGCATGTATTTCTGAGAGAAAGGGTTTCTTTGCTACAATACGTCGCTAAGGGCTGGCGGTCTTCCCGAACTTGGTAAGTTTTCACTTTTTCCCGTCTTTTTGTATTTGATAATAAAGCGGCGTATTGATGTAGGGTCACGTCAAATTTTTGCTCATTTTCGGTCTGAAATGTGTGCCGATCCCGGAAAAATTCAGAAATTAACGTACATGTATAAGGTTGAGATTCCACCCATCGTTATTAACGAAAAAAATATATAGAATCGTGCATAGTAGTAAATTTACCTTCATCCGGAACATACAAACTAATACTTGTGGAGCCTAAATATCCAAATATAATTTTTAACAAATATAAACCGGTAATATGATTTATATTTTAAATAAAAAAGTACCCGTGTCAGTTGGAATTGAAATTAATTTTAATGTATATACTCGACTAGTGTAAACTACATGTGGGTGGATTTGTTGTTTTTTGTTTGTATTTGTAGAAAAGCTTTTTTGATATCTCATTTCTGCCTTTCTTATATAAGAAATTCCTTAATTTCTTCATCTGTTTTAACGTTAAAACACTCTAAAGAGCTGTAGTACTGAAAATGCAAATTATTCGGTTCCCAATTATTATCGTTGATATCAATATCGGTAAAGGAGATCGAGTCGAAAAAGTGGTGGAGTTGGTCGGTTTTCAGGAATAGGATCCCAACATTTTTCAATAATAAATTTGCACCATCCCAGAGCATTATTTGATACCTTAGGTCGTACTCCTTATAAATATCATATACAAGGTATAAGTCATGACTCCGTTCACCAAATGGTCGTACACCTGTCACAATCTCATATATAATCATTCCAAACTTATAAATATCTGCAGCCTGAGTGTATGGTTTTCCATTTAATACTTCCGGACTAATATAAGGAAGTACTCCGCAAATTTCGTGATTAGAATTTTTTTACATTTGCTGGACTAGTAAGTCCAAACTCGGCAATTTGAGGATTAGTATATTTCCAGGGTGACAGTCACGGTGCACAAATCCCTCTGTGAATTTTTTTCAGATCGTCGATAAATATTTTGATTTTCATCCAATCTTCCGCATAAGTCATTACTATCGAGTATATATTTGTAGCTGGGTTTTGAGTTATCCCATGATACTTCACTCCATCGTAATCAACAGTGAACTTTAGAGCAGTCAGAATCTAATTTTGAAAAAGTTATTTATATTGAAAGCCAAAAAAGCATCATGCTTATACTTTGAAAATGGTTCATTACCTCATTTTTAAACTCAAATGTAATTTGGTTTGAATTGTGTAATGATTTCAACATAACGTTGGTTTTCCCTTTCGTTTAAATCTATTCTTTTCATAATCTCATCTATCAGTCGATCGTCCGTCCAACCAGGTTGCTTTATAAATTGATCCAAAACCTCCTTTTGCAAGACATTCAACATTGGTGAACCTTTCAAAAGATCCATTCAAAATCTTTACTAACTTTATCACATTCATTTATTAGTGTTAGGCAAACGACATCTTATTTTTGCTAGACATTCAGTTTCATAAATTCGTTCGAGATATTCCAATACTCATCGCAGTGCTCATTACAGTGCTCATTGCATTTGCAATCATGAATATTAGATTCCATATTTGAATACACTTTATGTGCAGTAAAACTTTGAAATGATGGTAAAATAAGCGATTGGTTTGTACATATACATGCAATGTAATCTATTAAGTTATCATGAGCAAATTCTGATATAGTTAGTCAGACTCTTATCAAACCTTGCAAAATATAATCTTAATATTGTGTGATGCCTTACTTTCAATTATTTTTTATGACGTTAAAGTTCATTACTTAATACATGTATAGCGATAGACGTACTAATTTTAGCTATGACACCTGATTACTTAGTATATGATGATGATATTGAAGCAACATAAATATAATATACATCTAACTAGTAAATTAATAATTCTCTTCTTACATAGGTAATATATCAAAATAAAGTAAACGCTCAAACCGGTGAAATGAATGCAAGTAAGTTAACCAGCAAAATATCTTTTGTTCTACGCTCTTCTCGCTCTTTACGCTTTTCTTACTTTTCGCGCTCGTTTCGCTCCTCATAAAGATACGGAGGTTAACCAAGAAAACAGTAAGTTAGTCCGCAAAATATTTCGTTTTTGTTTTTTTCTCTATACTTCTCGCTTTTTACGCACTTCTCGTTTTATGCACTTCTCGCTTTATACTCTTCTCACTTTATCACTTGCTTTACTTCTCGTTCTCCTCGCTCTTCTTGTCCGACCAGACAATAGCAACAATACCGCCGCACAAAGGCGACAAACATATCAAAACCTGCAGAACCCACAAGCCCCTCAAACTACTGAGCAATTGGTAATGGCACAATTACTAATCATGCAAGCCAATCAAGATCAACACAATCGGCAACAACAAGAATTGCAAGATATAATAAGACAACAACGACGTGTAATTCACATGCTCCGTCTTCTAGAGCAATATGCCAGGGAAAAGAGATACAATCCAATAAAGTATATAGCGGTATTTATGTTTGGTATATTAATTGTGTTATTTATTAATTATATAAGAAACTTTGTAAGGGCGTGAAATTCACTATCAATTTTCGCTAAATTTTTTGGTCTTGATCTATATGTACTACATGTACTGTAATATGTTATATCCCAAATAAATAATGTCCAAAGTCAAGATCTGTTATCAATGGAATTTGTTGAACGAAAAAAATCACCAGAAATTAGTATTAGTGTTAATGAGAGAATTGTTTAAGAACTAGAGTAGGACAACAGTAAAGAGATCTAAACTTGGAAACTTTTACTACTACATTGTTTCAATAACGCAGCATTGGAGAATGAAATTAGTGATTCTGACCGGTTAACTGTAGTTTACGCACAAGAGAAACCTCTAAGTGCACCCTCTATAAGTACACACCCTCTCTAAATGCATTCCTTGATCCAGTCCCGAGCTTGGACCATAATTATAAGTGCACACCCTCTATATTCACATGTGCTTCTAAAAACCCAATCAACGAGCCGTTAGGTTTAACTCTAGAACCGTTGTCCTGCTCAAAAAGATTGGGCTTTGGATTTCGTTCAGCCCGACATATGACCCCCTCTATAGAAATACCCTGGGTACCTCTGTCAAACTTTACGTTACCTTAACGGAAGTTTAGAGTAAATATTTTTATTATCTGTATTTAGAGTAGGAACTGATTTTTAATTTAAGATCGATTCTAAATATCGATTTTTAAATTTGTCAAATTGAGAAAATCGATTCTTAGTACGTATAGAACTTACACAAGAAACTAATTTTAGAAAGATTAATACATGATACATGTATCACGTAGGGAATTATGGAAAGATATTCATGTGGAGATTAGGAGTAAAAATTACGGAATTGAAGAATTTATGTAAAAGCACCTGAAGCCCGACATCCATTACCCCGACAGTAAATTTACCCGACATGATGTTTCCCCCGAATGGAGATTTTAATTAAATATGAAATAACTTAATATAATACAAGATAATACTAATATAACACAAAAAAAATTAAATATATAAAAACTAATTAAAATATAGAAATAGAATACATGCTAAAATAATCTATATTAAGTATATTATAATATAAATCTAATTTATAATAAAAAATCAATTAAAATATCTTAAATAAAAATTAATTAAATTCATAATAATCATTATTCTTTGTTAAATATTATTATTATATAAGAAAAATATCATTATTATAAATAAATATTGAGCTCTTTATAGTAATTAATATATAATATATAATATATTAACAGTGATAATATTATTTAAAATTTAGCTCTACTTTTTGCAATTTTTAAAATATTATCTAATATATATTAATTAAATTATTATATGTAATTATAAATAATAATAAAATATAAATAAATAATAATTTGAATTAATAATAGATAAATATTTTTATATTATTAAATTTTATTTTTTAATATATAAAAATATATAATTAAACTTTTTTATATAAAAATTTTACTATAATTATACTTATTTTAATATATTATTATTTTACTTAATTTTATATTTATATATAATAATTAACAGAATTATAAAATTATATGTAATCTTATTAATAAAATTTATTATAAATTAAAATATACAGATTTGTAATTTATTTAATAAATATTTTTTATTTTTATATTAAAATAAAAATTATAAGTTATAGTTTAATATCTTTTTCTGGATTTACTGGATTTTTTTTGACAAAGTTATTCTAATTACAAAATTATTGCAAAAATATTTTATAATTAAAATATAAAATTAATTATAAAAAATTTTTGTAATAATTTGCAATTAAAATAATTTTATTAGAAAAAAATCTAAAAAAATCAGAAAAAATATATATTAACTATAATTTATAATCTTAAGTTTAATATAAAAATAAAAAATATTTATTAATAAAATTGAAAACTTTTATATAAGACAAAAATTTCAATTTTTATTATATTTTATTAATAAAATTGCATGCATAATTCTATAATTCTGTTATTTTTTTATAAATAAATAATAATATTAAATTATAATTATAATTATTATATAATAAATATTAAATATTAAATTAATATTTAAACTAATATTTTTAATAGAATATTATCGAATTTTTTTATAATTTTTATTTTTAAAAAAATAAAATTAAATAATTATAAAAAATATATTTATATATAAAATTAATAATATATTCTTTTAAAAATTTTATATTACAAAAAATATTTGTATTATAATAAATTTATATAATAATCTTATTATTATTATTTTTATTAATAATTATAATTTTTTAATATAATAATAATTGAATTAAATTTATAAAAATAATAATAATAAATATTAAAATATTTAATTAGATAATTTATAGAATATTTTGATTCAAATTTTTTAATACTAATTTTTATTAAATTATATATTATTTATATTTGTTATATATTAGATAATAATTAATTTAGATATTATTTAGTTCAAATTAGAATAAAAATTTTATTAGAATTGAGAATTAAAATTAATATTAAAATAGATTAATATTAATCAAAAATGATTATATAAAATAAAAAGATATTTGAAAATAATATCTTTAAAAAAGTTGATTTGTTAAAAAATTTAGTTTTGTTTTTGATTAAAATTTATGAATTCAGTTTTTAATTTATATCTAATTTGATTAATTATAAAATTACTATTTAATCTTAAACTAATTCCAATTTTAAAAAAATTAATTTAATTTAATTTAATTTTTAATTATAAAAATAAATATAACTTTAATTTTGTTGAATAATTTAATTAATAGAGTTCATTTTTAATCTTTGCTTATAATATATACTATATATTAAAAAATTAATAATAAATATTTAAACATACATGAAACTAATATTTTTTACTTTATTGTAAATTTGAATTTTATTTTTATTAATCATTTTGTTATATAATATATTAAATATAATAATACTTTGTTCAGTCACTATTAGTAGAATAACATGACTTACTAAGATATATTTTTGTAAATGATTACTTTTATACATGCAATATCTTAATGTCTAGTGATATAAATAACTCCAGTTGATTCATCTAGACAAGATGAATCAAATGATAATATTATGTTCAGACACTTCACTTAATGACAAGATGCCACAATCCAAGTAAAAAAATGATTCAGTTGTTTTGAATACATTATTTCAATGCTCCATGATCTATTTCAAACTAAATGATGGTATTTACATTCAAAACAATTCACTGTATCATTTTTTTAAAAATAAATTTTTTCCCTCTTAGTATCCAGTGAATTTTTTTGAGCGTAAATACCCACCATTTGATTCATCTTATCCAGATGGCTAATTTGAAATTGATAACTGGATACCAAGTTATTGTATTGACCATTTTATTTTATAAAATTTAGCACCGAATCAAGTACTAATCTATTAATAGATTATATAAAAATAGTCAATAACGATAAAAATAACATTCTTATGAACAAGATTTTTGTTATTTACTTTATAAAGTGTGATCGCTATTCTTTTCTATCACCATCATTAGCGTTAGTGGCCTCGACAAATACATACAGAAAACAATATTTTTATTGTAAAGCTTACGATTAATACAAATAAAATATTACGGTTAAATGAAAAATAACATAAAGATTACGATTAATTAAAATGAAAAGCGATAAATAAAATAAATGGATTTACTCTAATTTTAAATGCTCATTTTCCTTTTCGAGTTCAAATTGTCTACGTAATAAATTTTCAATTTTTTCCTGATATTCTTTACGTTCCTCTTTTTGACGCTCGTGTTCCCATTCCAACCTCGATTTAATCTCTGCCTCTTTTTGTCCTATTTCCATTTTAACTTTTAATTCAATTTCCTTATCCATCGATTCCGTTAATTTTTTATTGAGATTTTGTTGATTTACTAAAGTATTCTCGTATCTAATCTCTCTTTCTTTCATTTTCTCAATTTCTTGTTGAGCTTCTTCCAATAAAGAATTCTGATCTTGTATTTCTTTCATTTCATTCTCATCTGGCTCATTTTTATGTTTATCTATCAATGAAATTCGAATTTGATGTAATTCTGCTTCGAGTTTATCAATTTCTTTTTGAAGATCTTGTTCTTTCTTTTGACTTTTTTGTATTTGTTTTTGTGTTGCTGCTGCCTGTTCGACTTTTGACTTCTTTTCTTGCTCTGCTTTGTTTTGTATTTTCCCGTTCAATTGTTGAACTTCTTTTTTGAGTTGAGAAATTTCTTGTTGTTGTGTATTTAATTTCTTATTCAATTGTCGAGTTTCTTTCTTGTATTGTGTAATAATTGAATTGAGCCGAGTAATTTCTTGATGTTGTGCATTGGTTGTTGAGGCTGACTCGGTGTCTGCTCGTTCAGCTTTTGGTTTCTTTTCTAGCTCTGCTTTTTTCTGTATTTTCCCATTTAATTGTTGAACTTCTTTTTTGTATCGCGTTGTAACTAGGTTAAGCCGAGTAATTTCTTGATTTTTTGCTTTTAATTTCTCATTCAGTTGTTGAATCACTTTCTTGTATTTTGTGATAATCTCTTGCGCATTTGTTGAGGTTGATTCGGAATTTTCTCGTTCAGCTTTTGATTTCTTTTCTTGCTCTACTTGTTTTTGTATTTTCTCGTTCAATCGTTGAACTTCTTTTTTATATCGTGTAATAATTAAATTAAGTCGTGTAATTTCAGCATCTTTGTTTTCAGTCGATTCGATTTCTAGAATATGGATATCAGAAATGTTCATGGTAATTGAAAAAGAAGTCCAAAAAACGAAACTTACCAGAACTTTGAATTAAATCGTCCATAATATTGTTGAAATAATTTTCAGTTTCCAATTTATTTGCGATAGCACTTGCCACTGATAAATCATATTCTTCGAGAAACTGAACAGTTCCATTTTTTTGATTTGTAAACGACACACCTATTACGCCCAATACTTTAGAATTACCCTTGTTCTCTTTGATAAACCAATCTTTATACTTCCTCGCTTGTTCCGTCACTTTTTTAATTCGTTTATTGTTAATTACGTCGTCGTCGTTATGAATTAATTTAACCTCGACCACCGCAAATATGCCGTATCCATCAGTCATAATTAAATCATTCTTGCCGAGATCCGGACGCCCTGGCACTGGCTCCCACTCAAATTCCCAAAGATATTTAAATCCAGGTAGATATATCTCAGTATTATTCAAAAATATTTCTTGCCACTCCGCTTCTTGCGCACTATTCGCCGTTAATTTGGATAATGGCCATTTCATTCGTTTTAAGGCGTCTCGTTCGATGATTTTGTTATCAATTATATAGTGCGAGTAGATGTGTTGGATTGCGGCTGTGATTATTTGAGGAACCGTCTCTTCTTCCCATGCATATTGATTGAATAATAAATAATTTGTGATAACGTTTGGTAAGAATAGTGCGTTTAATCTAATATCACGGAATTCTAAATCATTACAATAATGAATGCGGGTTTCTTTTTCTTCGTCTTCTACTTTTGGTTCTTGATCTTTTTGATTTTGATCCGATTTCGAAGTTTGTTCTGGTATTGAATATGTGAAACAAGTCTCTTCTTCATTAATTGAAGTGAAAAGTAATTTGAATTTTCGTTTTTCATCATTTTGGAGAATCTTCGCTTGTTTCTCGGTGATAACAATTTCGTCTTTCATATTTTCAGACATTAGATTGGTGAGAATATAATGATAATAATGAGATGTGAATTGTTCTTCTATATATAGAAAAAATACGTAGCGTGTGTATCATGTGTTACCTTAACACGGTGCATTGAGCTTTTCCTCCGATATTCTATCCTAGAAGTTTGATGAACACTGATTTCATCATTGACCCCTAATTCCTGTGAAGAATTTTCATTCCGAAATTCTTTAGTCAGGAAATTTCCCGACTCGGATTTTTTTTTGTGGGATCTCCAGAACTCTGGATTAAATATAGCAACGATCCTTCCGAATCGGGTGCAATTTCGTTGGAGAATTCATTAATTACGAGAGGTCAAATAATCAGATTGTACTAAAGTTGACATCAATAGAATACTACATTCGTTTTAATTTTCATGTTTCCATTTATCACACGAATTTATCTAATAGTTTGATGTATATATCGATATTGATTGATATTTAAATTCTCAGATTCTTAGCAAACTTAAAGTCTAGAACAGTAAAGGGTTTATCGTTATAGGACAACACATTTAATGTGCTGTTTTACACTTTCAAACTTTTCTGATGGAAAACAAGTTTCGGAACAAAGAGCGTAAAACAACATATTAAATGTGTTGTTGTTCCACAAATCCTAATTTGTAGAACAGCATGATACATGTACATGTATCGGATACGTGTAAACAATGTAATCTTACTATTAAAAATGTAAAGCAACATAGACCAGCACATTTAATGTATTATTTTCAAAGCTTCTCGATGTAGAGTGGGAACAATATGATATGAGCATTTAGAAAACAAAGAGTGTAGATTGAAACAAAAGGATATAGGATTAAACTATAACTTATGAACCCATTCATACCATTCTGGAATGCCTCTAAGTAATATGTCATGCTCTTAAAAAATCAACACATAATATACGTATTCTCCTTTCATGTTTGAATGCTATTTGACATGTCAAAATATTTATAAGAATATTACTAATATTATTTCAATTTTTATCAAATAAAATAATATATTGTTTTTAATATAGTGGGTGATCAAAAAGGTCTCGCCAGAATTATTTTTGACTTTTGTGGTGATTTTTGAGTTTTAGATACTTAAAATAGAAAAAGATTCTACTTATACAAGTTTTTTTCATGTGATGATGGTATCTTCAAAAGAACAATACAACACCACATAAACCAAAGGTTGCAACAGTCATTTACGAAGCTTCTAGAATCAAAACGTTATTTGGTCTCCATAAAATCCTGATTTGAATTCATAGAAAATTGATAGCATTGAGTGAAAAATGCTGTTTATCAATGATTTCTTGCACCATTTATGGTACATTTCACTTAGTTACACTAAAATTTTTCAATAATTCAATAAGTAATAAATTAAATTTAGTATTTTGAGAACATAATAAAAGTTCATTATGGTTTATATTGATGATATTAATATTTATTCAAACTTATTTAAAGAACATTTACAATATTCTTTGAGAAACTTAATAATAAAAGTATAATTTTATAATAATATCATATTATTTCTTGAACATGTTATTAATCTTAAAGAAATTTTTTTGATTTATCAATTATTCAACAAATTCTAGATTTTCTTATATTATAAAATATATAATAACTTTGATCATTCCTAGAATTAGCCAAATATTATTAAAAATTTGTTAAAGATATTGTTCAAATTGCTATATTACTATTCAAGTTATTATTCACCAAAGTTATTTATATTTGAATTCAAAAAAATTAATTGTATTATTTATTTTAGTATATTTAGATTTTACAAAGAAATTTTATCTATATGCTGATATATTTAACTTTGAATATAAAGTAATATTATCTCAAAAAGATAGTAAAAAATTATTTCTTATATAAGCATTACTCTGAAGACTTTTGAGAAAAATTATAGCACAACTGAAAAAAAACTACTGCAATTATCTGAATAATTAAACAATTTCAAAATTATCTCCTAAAAACTATTTTTAAATTATATATAATTACTGATTACAATACTTTAAAATAAATAACAAAATTATAAAATAAGAATTACTTGCTGAATTATCTTAATAAGTCTTTAAAAGAGATTACTAGATTAATTAATATTTATTTAGTATCTAAAGTCTGTATTAATATTTATAAATATTATTAACTTAAGTTAATTTTTGGAGGAAAGAGAAAGACTATGTGTTTAGGTAAATATTCAAGAATTTTCTTAACTATTATTTTTATAGATAAAAGTTTTAAACTCTTAAAAATATTACTTATAATTTTTACTTTTTCTAAATAAAAGTCTTAAACTCTTAAAATTATTATAATAGATACACAATAAAAACAGTTTTTCAATAATGCGATTCTATATAAACTAATATTTTTTCTAGTACAAAGAATCTAACTAATAATTGATATTATGATTAATGTGGAAAAAATGGTAAGAAGTGTTTTACAAGTGATAATTTACTTAGAGAGAGAATAATTATATTCAATAATTCAAGTTTAATTTAGCTTAGAGAACAATTATACATAATGTGAATTCTCTTTTTACAAGTGACTTACTTGAAGAATAATTATTTGCAATATGAATTCACTTTTTACTTTATTTTATTCTTTTTTGTAGCTTATAGATTATTTTTTTATATATTTTTTTGTATTATTACATGTATATATTGTTCTATTTATTATTAAAGAAAAAAAGCATTACTTATACTATGTAAAAAAAATGAAAAAAATATTTATAATGAATGCTCTATAATTTATAGAAGAAATTAATTGCAAAATGAATCAAAAACTAATAGAATCATGCTGAAGAATAATGAGAAGATGCTGAAAATAATGAGAAGATGCTGAAAAATGATGAGAAAATTCTATAAGTAAAACAATATGGAAAATAGTACAATTTTATATTGTATATCAAAAGAGGAAGCTTGTTATTTTTATTAGCATGTTATCATGCTATAAAGTCTATAGATAACTTTTGTTAATATTTGTGACAGAAATTTGTTGAAAAATCTATAGCAATGTTGCTGATAATTGTAATAGAAATTTGCTATAGTAATGCTGAAGATTTTATCAGATTAGAAAATCTGCAGAATTGTTGATGGGAATTTGCTAAAACAATGCTGAAAAAATATATCAGTTTGAAAAATCTACAGTAGTGTTAATAATCATAATGAAATATGCTGTAGATGCAGAAGATTCTATTGAATTAGGAAATCTGCAGTATTGTTGATGGGAATTTGCTGAAGTCATGCTGAAAAATATATCAGTTTGAGAAATCTGCAGCAGTGTTGAAAATTGTGATGGAATATGCTATAAACACTGAAAAACATGTCGAATTAGAAAATCTGTGATGTTGATGAAATATTCATCTGACGTTGGCAATATCCACGGTTCATCTTTCATTGTTTCATCCAGAAAAACCAGAATTAGAGATTTTGTTCACTGGCAGTAACAATACAGACCTGGAAGAAAAATCAAAATCAAAATGCTAATGCATTATCTTGTATGTACTCTAAATAATAAACAATGGATTTAACAATCTACTATAATATTTTTGGATATTTGGAAAACAAAACTTTTGATAAACATATCTCAATAACAATTAATTATTTAACAAGCAAAGCATTTTGTTATACAAAATGGACTATTATTTAAAATTAATCAACAAAAGGATCCAGTATATCCACTCCAGTTTGCCATGCTCTATAAAATTTGCATGTTTTCACAAGTTAAAATCATGATTTTCAAATTGTATGTATTCACGTATAACGTTATTAATCGATTTTGTCTTTAAAAGCGATTCTCAAACTTTAACTGACCCTCAATTACTAAACGATTCGAAGTATCGATTTCCTCGATTCTACAAATTAATCGATTCTAAATTAATCGATTCTAGAGAATCGATTCCTATCCTTATGCCAAGCAACTCAATTGCTCACCCATCGCTATCGCTATACCATTTAATCTATTATCAAAGGTTGGTCAAAAGTATGCCTGATCGAATGGAAGCATAACTAAGTATTTGTCACTTAAGAAATTCCACTAGTCGAAAATGGAAAAAAAACCACAATTCAGAAATTACTTAGCAACCATTTGGCAACTTAAATGGCATCTATCGCTGCCACTCGGCAACAATTCAGGAACAGTTTCTGAATTGTTGCCGAGTGGCAGCGATAGATGCCATTTAAGTTGCCAAATGGTTGCTAAGTAATTTCAGATTGTTGTTTTTTTCCATTTTCGACTAGTGTTTTATGCGGGATTTTTAATCTGAAATAAGAGTCAAATTAATATGCGCACCCTCTATCGTTATACAGTCATAAGTATCCGAAATTTCAAAATCCATCTTGGAGTTCACTTTATAAAAACGATTTAAAATGTTATTTAATGATTATATGCTGTGATTTATAGATGAATGCAGATATTTATTTCAAACTATGAAATAATAGCAAAACAAAAAATGATAATAAAAAATTATTTCTGCGTTAACGTTAATGGCAATAGTAAATACATAAAAATGAAATATTACTATTCTCTAATTCTAATTTTTAAATTTTCATTTTCGTTCAATAAATTTTTATTTTCCTTTTCAAGTTCAAATTG